GCCATTTAATATCTAGCGATTTGTGACAATGTATCCTGTTGTCACCTTTCCTCTTTAACTTCGTCATTGACGAGGTCATGGAAACAGCGTTCACTGGGGTTGAAAAGGCTCCCTGAAGAACACTGGAATTTGTGATGAGTGAAAATGAGCCCCCCCTCCAAAAAAAATCCTGGCTTTCGGTTGCGCTTAGTAAAATAGTTCTTCAGTAACAGAACAATAGGTTAACTCCAGTTCCTGGCAGATCACACAACAGCATTTCTCGTTTAATGCAGCCGAAGACTTTCCTTTAGTCCAGGAAGCATATGCTAGTGGATTTGCTTTTATTACCCAGAGTGTACGAAGCAAAATATCTAAGGTGCACCTTAAACTTATTGGGGTCATCCAAATGCGTCTGGACGTTGTTCCGAAAATAAGTCCTTCAAATATTTTCAAAGCAGTCAATGTGCTAGAAATTGCTCGATATCTGCAAGTAACACACGATTAAATGGCCGATACGTTGCGAATTGTAGCGACAAGTGCTTTTCATCTACATGTACCATTGAGAAGTTGATATTGCAACTACCGTCACCATCATCATCGTTCCTTTTTGTACACAGCTGGTCAACACAATAAGAAATAAATCCGACAAGTTCCATGACGGCATCATCAACGTCGGAATAAAGCCAGGTTTCTTGTAGCACAATGACACCAACGCATTACATTTTCGAGATCCGATTTTCTAAGCAGCGGTTGAATGTTAGCACTGACTAAGATAGAGATGCTCATAATTCCGAGTTTTCTTTCTTTCGTGGATTTTGCGTAAAACTCCGCTTCTTGATACGATTTTTCCCGTGTAAGTTGACCAAGGAAAAATTACACATCCGTGTGCGTGAAAATACGTAAACGTTTTCAAGGATTGCGGGTGGAGCAATTACTACTACTACTTGCAGAACATATTATTGAAGAGTTAAAACAAAGCGTTCCGATATAGTGCCGATATGCGTTTGTTGTTAAATCCGTTGGACAGGAGTCAGATTACACGGGTAAATCTGTATTGTCCTTTATTGGGGTTACCTATTTAAAGCGGATCTGAAGTTCTCTGTGGTGTAAAATTGATTATGACTACACAGTTAGGCCTTCACCAATGCTGCCTGGTCTTCGCACGATTGTTGCCATTTTTCTTTCCGCTATTCGCCATGTGTATGCGCAATAATCCTGCCTATGTGCTTATGATTGTGTACTGTCTCCTTTAACCTCATTCCTATGCACCTTCAATTATTTACTGCAATTAATCACCAGTTCAAAGCACTGTTCTAACGTCTTGTAACAAGGTGGGTACTGAAAATCCCAACAATGAACTGTTGTAACGTTGTTGACCGAGTGACAAACTCGCGACGCCCGAAGATAGTTCTGGTTTCGGGTTGGGCTGATATGTACCGGATCTGGACGTCGTAGAGCACTGCACGCTTCAGTACGTGCCTCACACCTTCAGGGTCCTAGAGTTTATAACAGCACTGGGTTGAGGTACCAGCAGTTCCATCTATCGCTCAACATCCACTCGAAATGATTGGTAGGCCTACTTATGCACTTGAGCGTCAAGCCTTTCAGGAGACAGTTGCATGGATCGTTAATACTCTTGAACATTATCAACACCCCCAAGACTGGATTCCAGAGGATATCAAGCACAAAGCATGTATCGCTTCATTGCGATCAATACTATTGTTCGGATCGACTGACTGTGGTAGGGGGCTTCCGCCTCCAAGATTGATGGCTCGAGGACTGCGTACATGCCTGATTAAGAGCACTTTAAGATGTGGGCAAAATTCGCGATTAATGGCAGGCGCGTTTTAAGACCCTTCTTTTCCGGCTCACATTTGTTGCTCTTGCCTACACCCAAATGTTGTGGCACTCCGGCATATATATGTATATATATATATATATATATATATATATATATATATATATATATATATATATATATATATATATATATATATATATATATATATATATATATATATATATATATATATATATATATATATATATATATATATATATATATATATATATATATATAGTTGTTTGATATTACCTCACACGTGCTCAAGGCCATGCCAACACTAGGTCGGACTTTGCACACATTATTTCGATTTGCTCTGTTCTGCCGCACGTTTACTGTCCAGGTTGACTGTTTATTTTCTTTGCTCTTTTTTGGTTGTTTCATATCCGCGGTGTGGCCGCGTTTCATGTGAACGTTGACAAGGTGCCCACCTGACGAGAAACCGCTACCTCGATTATACTGGCTCCAGGAGACATTTAGTCATCGTATGGGTACGGGGTTCGCGGTCTTCGTGCCCGTGCTAGGCTCAAAGAGCAGTTCTATGCATACAGTGTGGAGCGGGCTACGATCCTCCACGACTTACTGTACATCTGGTACGCATGATTCTCTACATAGATAAACAGGAATGCTGCTGATGTCCTTGTAGAAGGGAAGTGGGTCGGCTCCATTGATGAAACATGGCTCCCATCACATGGCTTCTTTCTTCGGGTTTACATTGCATATGGGGTGTGTGGATGGAGCTTTGTGTGGTGCACCGCAATCCACCCATGGTGTCTCTGCTTGCGCAGGCTTCCTGTGGCTGTCTTATGGAGGCCACAATGGCAGCCAAATCCAGAACTAAATGCCGCCAACCAAATATACCATTTTCACTTTAACCTGGATGTTTTTCAAATTGAATTGGACACATTGCATTCTAAGCAGCAAATCCTTAGTTTGTTAGCAAGTAATTAGGTGTAAAGCCACTGAACGATGCTCAGACCACATTGTGGGCATGCTAATGCAGAAGGCGGTTTTGCAAGCCCTTCTCTTGATCACGGGTGTCGTTCGCCTCGATCAAAGGCGGTGACCCAGTTCCCTCCTTTCTCTCTATGGTCATTTGCGTATTCTCTGCGGGTGTGTGGGCGTACCTATGCAGCTGCACGACTATTGGACACAATGTAGGCTGCTGTGACTCCACCAAACCCAGCCTAGCTCTATTGATATTGTGCTGCACGGGTCGAGCAAAGTGAGCGACGAACGGACGCATCCCCGAAGCAGCAACGTACATAGAGCGTCATCGGCGAAGTTTTTAGCCTTCTAAGAGCATTGACGACCGCAGAAACGGAAAGTGGATCCCGTTCTCTCAGCTGCTGCTGCTGCTGCTGCACCTGCACCAGTGTCCCTGAATGATGTTCAGCGGTCTCTTCCAAGTATTGCAGGATATCTGAAGTCAGCCTCTTTCTGTTGTTTCCTCCATATTTGCGCCATATTTTGGTACTTTCTTGCCAGCAGGCATTGCCGTGCTTCCGTTGACATCCTCGACTTTAGCAGCTTCCTGGGTGGTTTTGCTGTCGACGGACACAAGCTTGGTAGGGATCTTTTCTGTGCCGATGACGTTCGCTCGTGCATCGCTGCTTCGGAAATGCGTCCTCTCGTCGCTCATTTTGGTCGGTCCTTGCAGCACAATACTAATGAAGCTAGGCCGGGTATGATGGAATCATAACAGCCTACATTGTTCCAATAGTCGTGCAGCTAGATAGGTACGCCCACAGAATACGCGAAGGACTATAGGAAGACAGGAGGAAACTGGGTCACCGCGTTTGATCGATGTGAACTACACCCACATACAACTGCCTGCTGCATGCACAGTTCGGTTGCATTAGCATGACTACCATGCGGTCTTACACCTAATTTCTTGCTAACAAATTACTGATTTTCTGTTTAGAATGCAATGTGTCCAATTCGGTTTGCAAAACATCCAATCTAAAAGTGAAATTGGCATTGTTTTCACAGATCTGAGTACAAATAATGTGCCATCTGAATCATAGTTGCAAATAAAGACGATAACAAAACAAAAGATGCAATTGTATTTTTATTGTTTCACGCACGTTTTTTCGATTGAGTATTAAATACTCGACGATACTGCACACAAGTCTGTTGTGGGCCATAACATGCAAGGTTTGCAGCCACCGAGATCCCGTGTCGCATGGCCCCCAGCCTGGAAGGCGAACTGTTCTAACGGATGATGAGCATGAGATTGCCTTACGTCATTTGTTCCATCGCTACTGGTCTTGTTAAATGTTTTCCTGAATCGGGGACACGGTCACTTCATTTTGAGGACACTAAGGAGATGCTCGTCCTTGAGCTCCCCTGTTTATGCCACCGCGCTCGTGTCTGATAGTAACTACGTTGATGCCAGACAACGGTCCTCTAGCGCCGTAACCGGAACCGTTATTTGTGTGTGAACGGTCTACTTCGAAGTGGTCACGTTCTTCGATTGGTCATCGATTGCCACCTCGACTTTTAGGCCATACTAATGCCATGTATGGCTTGTTAAACCTCAGGACGATCAGTCGACGGTGTAAGGAAACTCACCGAAAGGCTCGGTCGACAGGTGTTCATCGCCCTCCTATGTATGATGTATCGAGCACATTAGTGATTATAGATGTTGCGGTCGTGAAGACGATGGTCCCTTGCATTCGGTCTGCCGAGCCAACTTTCCTTCCCATTCTATTTCCCATGTACTTTCGCCTACATTCTTGTCCGCGTTTTTCTCTGTTCTTACTTCTTGCGCGTTCTTTCTTGCAATTGTCATAATGGTGAGGTGGTTCAATGGAACGATTAATCACACTGCGAAAATGCTTTTTTCTACGATGGTCTGGTAAATCTAGCTTTTCAAGTCCTATGCGATATCGATGACTCTGCTCACTGTTGTTAGCGATATCCTTAGCTGTTGGTGAGCGCATCATGTGGTGTTGATTGCAGCGATTCGGGTTGCTTGTATTTTCGTGTGTCAGTGAGGTACAAACGGATACCGCTATTCAACTCAACTAGTGAGTCATACGTGCGTAAAACCGACAGCGTAGCGCAATATGCAATTACTTGAGTGTGCTTCATGATTTCCAACTCACCGTTTGTTTGAATGATTAAAGTAGTTCATTCCATCTGCTCATCTATTTCTGTTACCACCTTTCTTCAGGTTGCTGGAATTGGAGAGCACTTTCTACACTTTGATCAGCGAGAAGGAGCTGGAGATTTGGTTAGCCAACGCCGGTGTCTCTGTGACTGATGGAACCAACTGCGATGGTACGAAGGATTCAAGCCATTCTAAGAGGCTCTCAATTCCAAACGATGTTTGCTCTGCGATAACGGTGTACTGGAAATTGAAACGCCGCGCGAACTTCAATCAACCACTGGTCAATCCAGCTCCATCTCAGTGGCGTCAAACAGCCACTAAGGCAGCCGAGACTACCAAGGAAGCCCTAGCACAAGCTGCTCGGTTGGCAGCTGACATGAGGGCATTCGACGCTTTTCGCCGCATACGCTTTGGTCTTGACCGAGCGCGTCTTGTGGCGGACATGGTTTTGCAACGCGAACGACGCAAACTGGCTTTGTTTAGACGAATGTGGCGTATATCGGAGCACCAACTACGTGTATTTTCTTGTAAGAGGATGCCCACTATGTCCGAAGTTGATTTCGCCTTTTACTCAACTGTACACAAGGGGGATTCGGTGTACGATAATGCCGATCTGTTCTCCAGATACAGTGCACTAAGTCGAGTAAAGGAATACGATGTGTCCACCGGGTCCCGATCCCCGGTGACTGAAAGACATAAGGTTGCTACAACTGCTGTGTGTGGCTCTCCGCCAAGCGGAGTGTCAGAGAGCGCTACACCAGCGCAAAGGCCAATCACTTCTTCCTCCGACGTGTACACAATCCCCTATGAACAGCTTATCGTTCCGGAGGATATAAAGCAGAGATTACGTTCAGCGATTGCCCTGATAACCAATTCTGCAACTAACACAGGATGGCTGCCCTTACGTTCGAGGGACAAACTGAAAGAAATCAATGAAGGCAAAGCAGACATTGGTATTTTTCAAAGACGACCCCTTTCCTCTTTCACCACCAACAAGAATGCGTACCAGACGCGTACGCCGATGGATGCACTAGAATTGAAACTGTCCGAAAGCGGGATGATGATGATGGGGACACCGCCAAAGCGTTTCAAACGCTGTCATCTTACGACCTCCAGCACTGATGATGACTTGTACTCGAACCATTCAGTCCCAATTTTGACCAAATTCGCTACCATAAAACTCACTCCAAGTTCGCTACGGTTGTTGTAATTTGAATACTCCTTGTCCTTCATCTTTCGTGTACATTATCTCCTGACCGAATTCTCATCTGTCCTACTCAACCACAGCACATTGTGATAGTCATTCCATGCCAAGTCGACTGGTGGTCAGTTGCGGTTCATCGACTTCTTATTGATCATACGTTTCCATCCACTGGTGCATTTCAAGCTTTCATTCCGCATTGAGTTTTATCTTGAATAAAATTGTTATTCATCTATCAAGCCCCGTGCTTGCCATGCGACAGAAGTGACATTCAAACGTCCTTAGGTGCAGATTCGTGCTTGAGTAACCGGTCCCACCCCTATTAACACGTAATACAGTAAGTTGGGATAATAACTACACGTTAGCTGGAGGTGGAAAACACCTCAGCTATTGTGCCGCAATAAAAAAGACAAGAAAAGGAAAACAAACAGTGGCACGCCCGCGGAGTCCCCAGTAACGGATGGACATCGTTCCGGAGAGCTAACAGCTGGCTGCAGTAAAAGAGAGTCATATTATGCCTATCAAGTAAGATCGTGATTGGAGGGGGATACTAAACGGGAGGGGGATGGACAAAGCAAATCACAACACAAACGCCATTGGTGCCGGCTCCGAGTCATATCAGCAAGTGTGTCCAACCAAACGTGTTCACCGTCCTTAGGACCCCAGCCAGGCAGTCCGGATGCACCAACCGACGCCAACTTCGAAGTGAGGGTTTTCATTTCTCTCGACCAAGTCATCACTTGGCCTCCCCTCCTCCTCTTCTAACCGCACCCACGACGCGCAAACAATGCACGCCGCGGGTGTCGGTGTGCTGGCATGTGCAACACGTGGCCCAGCCATCGGAGCCTGGTGCGTGATATAATGGTGCTGAGCGGTTCACTCGCTCTTCCTGCACCAAATACGCGACGCCGAACACGCTCATTGCTCACGCGGTGTTACCACCAGACATGAGCTAAGCTGCGAAGGCAGTGATGATCGAATGTAACGAGCCTCTTTATGTCTTTCGACCTGATGGGCCAGGTTTCACAACCATATAGCAGAGTTGAACGAACGGCTGCGTTGTAAACTCTGCCCTTCAGGGCGAGAGTAATGTCGCGTCTGCGCCACAGGTGGCGGAGGTTAGCAAAAGCACCTCGAGCTTTTGCCATACGGTTCGTAACCTCATCTTCAATCCCACGGGTGCAAATATAGCTGCCCAGGTACTTGAATTCCTGAACGACTTCTAGCAGATCACCACCAAGCGTTAGCGCAGGGTTGGGTCCCTGCCAATCTTTGAGAAGTACTTTGCATTTCGATGGAGCAACGCATAGCCCAAAACGATTGACAGCCAGTGCTAATCGGTCCAGTGCTGTTTGGCATGTTTGGGGGCTGTCACAGATTAGGGCAATATCGTCCGCATCCTCCAAGTCAAGAATTCGCTCACCAGGAAGTAGCTCCACACCTTCTAGGTCGTGCCTAGCGAACGCTGTTTCCATGACTTCATCAATAGCGAATTTGAAGAGGAAAGGTGACAGCGGGCATCCTTGTTTCACACCGCTGGTGATACTGAAGGGTGGCGAGAGTTTGCCATAAACCCTCACCCTGCCCGAACTATGCGCGTACAGCGCTTTGATAACGGTTACATATTTATCAGGCGCACCTTTCCTCAGCAGACAGTCCCAAAGGGCACATCGATCGACTGAGTCGAAGGCACCTTTTATGTCAATAAACACGACAACGGTGGGTCACCAATAAACATGGCGGTGCTCCAACACTTGACGCAATGTGAAGATGTGGTCGACGCAGCCCGGACCTCGACGAAATCCGGCTTGCTCTTCACGAATCTGGCTTTCACGAGTGCCAGTCAGTCTGTGGAGAATGACAGAGGCAAGCAATTTAGAGGCAATCGAAATCAGACTGATCCCTTTATGATTGCCGCATTCCAAACGGGAGTTTCCCTTGAAAATTGGGATAATCCCACACCGGGGGTAAATCCACAACTTTTTAGTTATACAACGTTTTCCTAAATGGAAGGTAGTTTTGGTCAATGCATGAAGCATCCTTTTCAGTGACACCATTTTGCCAGCTTCCCGTTTACATACGATCAGCACCATGTGCAAGCGTTCAGCTAGAGATATAGAATACACGAGCAATGCAGAGTCATCTGCATGTAAGTAGACATGTTACACCTTTTAAAAGTCTGTACTTGTCTTAAAACGCGTTATATTGCCAGAAATCAAGTAGTATATATTAGTATGATTGTGGTATTAATAATTGTTCAGTTATGAGTGGAAGGATTTTGGTGAGTATTTTGGTTCGTCGCAATCAGTCGACAATTCAGATAAGTCAACTAGCTATCCGGAAAAGCACCAGACGGCCGTTTCGCCCTATTGGGGCAAGAGCCACTAGCAGTCATGGTTTCGATCCTCCGCAGAGGACCGAGGGATGCGCACCACTGATGAGCCCCAATAGGGCGAAACGGCCGTATGGTACTTTTCCGGATAGCTAGTTGACTTATCTGAATTGTCGGCTGATTGTGACGAACAAAAATACTCACCAAAATCCTTCCACTCATAAGTAATACAAATTCGCCCCTACGGATTCCACAAAACGCTATGTCGATTCATAGCTGCCATAACCGGGAAGTCCTGACACCGGAAGGCCAACCGCTGTCATCTGCATGGCAGGTGCCTGAATGGCAGTGGAGGGTGGGTCGAGCTATGTCGCATTTAGCTAACAATTCGTGATGGTCGGATACCGTCCTCCATGGCGCAGTTGCATAAGCTGGGTGCTAGTTGACAAGAGCCACTAGCAGTCATGGGTTCGATCCTCCACAGAGGACTGAAGGATGCGCACCACTGATGAGACCCAATAGAACGAAACGGCCGTCTGGTGCTTTTCCGGATAGCTAGTTGACTTATCTGAATTGTCGGCTGATTGCGACGAACAAAAATAATTGTTCACGTATAAATTATTTGTCTCATGAGAGGATTTTACCTTCGTGAGTGACAAATTACTAGCGTGTTGGGGAAATTACGCATCCCAAATTAAAAGATTGTGGGGCAGTTCCACATATCACTGGGTGCATTTAACCAATGTTTATATCTGAGCTTTTTGGATGTGAGTCGTCTAACATAGATTTCTTTTCGAATTTAAGAATTGTTCGAAACTACGAACGTAAAAAGGCAGCATATGACACAGCTGTGATGGAACAAGCCGTTGCTTTAGTTAGAAAAGGTATCATGGGGTACAAGAAAGCTGCCAAGCTGTACAAATTGGAAAAGAAAATTCAAGACTACGTAAAAGGAAAATACAGCAAAATGGACGCTGGTAGAAAAATAGCTCTCACTGAAGCCGAAAAACTTTCTTGCTGTTTAAAACTTGTTGCCCAGTGATGGTTTGGATTTACATGCACAGAAGCGATGGAAGTTGTGGGTGATTCTATTACTTCTGTTGGTCAAGATAGGAAAGTTCTCCTTAAGAAAAATATCGACCCTTAGTCTAGAGGTAACGAGCTTGTGTCCTAATGTTGCGGCGCGGGTTCCTACCTGCATAGGGGTTGTGTATACTCATCCTGCGTGCGATTGGTGGTGGTCGCACGGCAGCGAAGCGCCGTTACGGCTTACAGCTGACCCATTGTTTATTAATTTATTTCTAAGAAGAATGTTCCTGGTCGAGATTGGTTATACAAATTTTTAAAGAGACATCTAGATCTGACATGCCGTACTCCAAACCGCTAAAGTAATCAAAAGTCCAGTTGGCTGCAAATAAACAGACATTGGAAGAGTGATTTCAGCTGCTTTATGCGGCCCCTGCAATCAATGGCATTATGAATATGCCAGGACGAGTTTACAACGTTGATGCGAGTTGCTTTCCACTCGACCCTAAGCGATTGAAAGTGATTTGTGATAAGGGCATCAAAAACCTTTTTCTTGTCATTGGTGGCTCAGGGAGAGATCCTATCAAGTGCAAGGATATGCTCGGTCTGATGGGACCATGCTTCCCCATATATCCTTTATGGGGCCAAAAATCTAAGTTTCTTGGACGCAAAATAAACCTGACAATGCTAGATACAATATCTCTAAAAAAGGTTGGATGAATAGTGCTTGTTTTAGTGATTGGTTTAAAAACCATTTTTACCAGAAGGTAGACCTGTTCTGTTACTTTTTGATGGGCATGCTTCACATATGAATATTAAAGTCATTAGAGCAGCAATTCAAAATAGTGTTATAATTATGAAACTTCCATCAAATTCAACCCACTTGCTTCAACCTCTTGATGGGGGTGTTTATGGTCCAGTGAAGACAGAGTGGCAGGAAATTCTTATCAAATTTGCCAGGAGAACTTAGGTACAGCCTTATTCAAAGAGCTATTTCCTATTCTTCTGAAGAAGTTATGGGGAAGTGACTGTCTAAGAAGAGGAAATATTGAATCCGGGTTCAGCAAATGTGACATCATACCGTTTGACCCTTCCAATTTCATCATCTGTGCATGAATCTGCAGAATATGTGGGCAGCGTTCAAGCAATATCAACAGAGCACGGCGCAAGCCGTACAAGTGTGGGTATACCGCAAGAGGACAATGAAGTGAATCAGTCAGTTTCAGTTTTGTCAGCAGATCCTGCCATTACGACTGAATCCGCTTTGTCTCAACTTTCCACATCCAGAAAAGATCATACTGAGAAGCAGATCGATCGAAAAAAAACTCTATTAGACACCTTTTTCTCAACAGGCTGTCACCGTTCCTGAAACAAAACACATCTAACACTCAGAGTGCCAATTAAGACATTATGGAGAAAGTTTGACTGCTCGGGAATGTGTGGAGCGAATGGAGCAGCAAGGGTAGAATAATCACAAGACAACAGAAGCTGGCATAAAAATAAAAAGGACGTAAGTATGGAAACGAGTTGGACAAAAAGAAACCGTCCAGCAAAAATCACGCGATCACAAAGACATCCGTTAGATAAAGCTTATTTGCACAATAACAGTACAAATATTTTAGACAAAGATACCATCCTGTTCGTATTGTCAGCTCAGAAATGATTCCACGGAAAAGCAGAAGAGTGGTTTAGAATCTTGCAATGATATCGATCTTTCCATATCGGACAGTGATGACGACTTGTTGCCCCCAAAGTTGCCTAGTAAAAACATATTTGACAGTCAGTTTCTGTGAGACAACATCAAATGCCTGCCAATTGTTTGGTTGTTGTGTTTGAAAAACCTTGCCTAGAGCAGAAGACGTGGAATTTGCCCCAATT